AAGATGGCCACCATCACCGAGATCAGCAGCTTCTTCCCTCGATGGAGGCAACTGGTGTTGGTGCCAAGCTCTAGGGCTCCGAAATTCTGGCCAAGGATGCTCTGGAAGCGCTCGAGTTGCCGGGTGGCCAGGCGAGCCTGAAGCAGAGCGGGGGCCACCGACAGGGCGGCGGGAAACAGGACGAGGAGCATGGACATGGCTAGGGGGCCATATGCGAACCCTACCCCTATCCCCCACGATTTCTGAGGTGGAGGGTGGGGCTCACTTCGCTCGGGAGCTCCCGAACGAAGTGAAACCCACCCTCCCCCTCAGAAATCGTGGGGGGTAGGGGTAGGGTTCGCATGTGACACCCTCATGGCATCGCCCAGCCCGATGCTGGACTCCATGAGGATCTTCGCGTGCTTCCAGCCGTACTCGCCGTACTTCTCGTTCGACTGCACGAACTTCGACCACCCCTTGGCGGTCCCGTGCGCCTGCTGCTCCCGCTGCTCCACGTATGCCCTCGACACCTCTTGAGCAGGGACCGACCGTCCTGGCATTCCTGTAAGCCTACCACGACATGTTCTTAGAACCCGAAAATGTTTCAAAATCAAAAACACGGTTCTTAGAACACAAACAGGTTATTAGAACATTATTTGGCAGGCCTATAGGCGAGCCAAGACGCTTCGCCACTGCTTGAACCTCGCAGAACTCCTCGACGGCGTTGTCGAACTCCCGGCTGCCCTCCTGTGGGACGCACAGAGACACACTAGTACTATATGCCATCATTGGAGGCACGCGTCCGAAGCACAGATCGTTTCCCGAGCGGTGTGGCCAGAAAGCGCCCACCACGACGCATATTCTATAAGATTTCTCGGTGCGCGCGTCGCCCCTGGGGTGGGCGACGCGCATATAGTATAAGTACGTTGGGGTGACGCCGATCCTGGTACTCGTTGCATACCTTTGTTATGTCGCTTTTCGACGCCCCGGTATTCTTCTCCCCGAAGCTGAAGACGTAGCAGCGCCAGTCGAACCACGTGCTCCAGCCGCCGCCAGGGCACTTCTTGCAGGCGTCGCGCAGGCTGTTCTTGTAATTGCTGAACATCCTGTAACTGTCGGTACCCGTCGCCGCTCCACGGAGCTCCTTGCGCGCCGCGCCCAGAACTGGAATACGGAAAATCAGAATGAGCATCAGCTGTCGGAGGTCCGCGTGGATTTCGAAGGTCGGTGATGGACCCCCTCCGCGCCGCCGCGGGGAACAAGCGCCGATCCAAAAAAAGCCGCGCGGACCTCCGAAAGTTTGTGTTTACGCTGGTTTTCTTGTTCGATTCTCCCTCCTCCTCTTCCTCCCTTCATCCCTCGTTTGATGGGGGCCATGATGGGGGCCACAACACGGTGAGGTGACAGACCGCGCGGAGACCTCGAAATCGCCGAAGACCTCCCCGCACAGTCCGTCACCGAACCCGTTTAGGGGGCCTTGCAGGCCCCAGCCAATCGCCCGATGTAGCCTCGGAGAACCTCCCAAGACCCCCTACCGTGCAGCCACCCCGAACCCTAAGTCGAAGCCAGGATTCGGTCGGGCATGTCCGCCTACAGGGGGATTTTATACGAACACAATCACAAAATATTCAAAAATTGTCAAAAATCAGCCTGGCGAAAGACCCAACCATATGCAGTTGTGAGCACCGCAATTGTGAATATCTTCTTCGGTGTCGCTCCCTAAGGGGCCACGTAACGCTGTACTGGGTGGGCGAAACGCAGGGAGCAATGGCCGTGTTGGGTGGTGGCGGACGCATGCAGGCGGTGCCACTGGGCCCTTCCGTGGAGCTCCCTACGGGGCCACGAAGCGCTGTACTGGGTGGGTGAAACGCAGGGAGCAAGGGCTGTGCTGGGTGGTGGCGAACGCATGCGGGCGGTGCCACTGGGACCTTCGGTGGAGCCCCCATATGGGGCCACGAAACGCTGTACTGGGTGGGTGAAACGCATGGAGCACGGGCTTTGCTGGGTGGTGGCGGACGCATGCGGGCGGTGCCACTGGGACCTTCGGTGGAGCCACCTACGAGGCCACGAAACGCTGTACTGGGTGGGTGAAACGAAAGGAGCAATGGCTGCACTGGGTGGTGGCGGACGCATGCGGGCGGTGCCACGGAGACCTTCGGTGGAGCCTCCTATGAGGCAGCGAAACGCTGTACTGGGTGGGCGAAACGCAGGGAGCAAGGGCTGTGCTGGGTGGTGGCGAACGCATGCCGGCGGTGCCACTGGGACCTTCGGTGGAGCCACCTACGAGGCCACGAAACGCTGTACTGGGTGGGTGAAACGAAAGGAGCAATGGCTGCACTGGGTGGTGGCGGACGCATGCGGGCGGTGCCACGGAGACCTTCGGTGGAGCCTCCTATGAGGCAACGAAACGCTGTACTGGGTGGGCGAAACGCAGGGAGCAAGGGCTGTGCTGGGTGGTGGCGAACGCATGCCGGCGGTGCCACTGGGACCTTCGGTGGAGCCTCCCATGGGGCCACGAAACGCTGCACTGGGTGGGTGAAACGCAGGGAGCAAGGGCTGTGCTGGGTGGTGGCGGACGCATGCAGGCGGTCCCACTGGGGGCTTCGGTGCAGCTCCCTATGGGGCCACGACACGCTGTGCTGGGTGAGTGAAACGCATGGAAGAAGGAGGAGGGAGGGGAGGAGGAGGGGGGAGGAGGAGGAGAGGAGGAACGCGGGGACCGTCTTCTTCAAAACGAGGACCCAACACCACAGGATGGTTGGGAAATACTTTTTAAATATGTTTAAATAATCAATGTTTGCTTTAACCATGTTTAAAGCCATGTTTAACCATGTTTTAACCATGTTAAAATATTCCCCCTGCAGAAAAACGCTTGAAGATAAGATCGGGTGAGGATAAATCGGGAATCTCTGCGATCCGGCAGCTCTGGAGGATGTCTCGGGCGCCGCGGTCCTCTCGGAGCCTTCCGGAACGCTCCGAGAGCGTGCCGCAGCGCGCTCGGCACGGAGCTCTCCTCGTCCCACAGGCCCGCCCGACGAGTCCCTCCACCGCGCGGCCACCCCGAGCCCCCACGGACTTGCCAGAGGGGCGAGGCCGCGGCACCGCCTGGGGTGAAGTCGGGCGCGTCCCCCTGCAGGGGGATCCTGAGCGAAAAAAAAAATAACAAAAAAAACTCAATTAATATCCCAAAGAGACTCAAAACTGGTCCAAGAATCGTCCCCAGACAGTGGTTTCCCTATCTTTGAATACCCCCCTGTGGAGGGACAGGCCCGACGTACGCCTGGGCGCCCCCAGGTGGCCCGCGCCGCCACTCGCGGGCCCGGAGGGGGAGCCGCGCGCCGCCAGCGCGCGCGCCGAGCAGCGCGCGGGGCGCCCCCCGTGGCCGACGGGCCGCCGAGCGGGGCGGCGAGACTCGGCGAGACTCGGCGAGACTCGGCGAGACTCGGCGGGGCGTCGCCCGAGGGCGAGGCGCGAGCGGGGCGGCGGCGGCCTGCCCTCGGAAGCGCTCCCGGCCCCCGGGAGGCCTCCGCGGAGAGCCCGACGGTCCTCCTCGGAGCGCGTGCCGGCGCCCAGCGCGCGCTCGTCAACCGAGGCCCGTCAGCGCAGGCGGCGCAGGAAGGGCCAGCTCGAGGTGCTTGCCACTGGCGGAGCCGAGCGGGGCAGACACAAAGTGGAACCCATGTTTCATCACTCGCGATACCGCACATGGCCAGCCCCGCCCGCACCCCCTCCCCCTCTGGCCAGCGTCACGATTCACGCCGGCGCCGTTTGGGAACTAGCCGATCTCGGGCATTCCCAGACGGCGCCTGCACGAATCGTTACGTGACCGGCCCCCTCCCCACCTCTCCACCCACCCGCTGGCCACGCAGCTTATCGCCAGGGGGTACAAAACTGCTTCTTGGGAGCACACACGCTCTGAGGATCATCTGCAGGCGTTGGCCTCGCGACGAGGTGTGGCCCGGGCAGCTCTGCGCCCAGGGGCGCGGAGGCGCAGAGCCGCGGTGGCGAGCTGGCCGCACACGGCCGTTGTGTCGCGGGGCCAAGCGGCTGCCTGCCTTGGCAGCCGGGGGGACGCTGCTGGATCCATGCCAACCTGCTGCGAGGTGGTCTGAGGCGGGTTTTGTGCCGTGCCCACCTCTCACGAGCGGCGAACATATCCGTATCCGCGCCCTTGCGGTCTGGATTCCGGGGCGCGATCCCGCGCATGCGCGGTCGCACGGATACGTCCCGCCCGGGGCATCCGAGAAAAAACGCCCCGTAGCCGCGGGGGTCACGGACCAGGGGCCCGTCTCGCGAAGCCGCGGATGCGCATGCATTCTTCGCCCACGGACTTCAGCGACGCGCCTCTTCGGCACGCTTCTCCGCCAGCCAGGCGACGCCACCGGCGCAAAGCTATCCAGAACTCCGCCAGGCGTTGCAGGCGGGCTGCGTGAATCAAGCGGACTTGCATGGCAGAGGCAGCCTGTGCTCAGGGGGGTGGGCAGGCGAAGCCGGACCACGCGCGGCGAAGCGTGCAGGGAGTGCATGGCCCCGTGGCCCCGGAGTCGCAGCGAGAGAGAGGAGGAGCATGTTCAACACACGGGACAGGGTCTCCCCCATCTTCGCCGCCCCTGCTGGCTCACCTGCAGCGTCGGAGACGCATCTGTCCCCCCGCCCTTCGCCCAAAACACGCCGGACGAGATCGGCACTGGCGAGCTCTCGTATCCTTGTCCTCTCGCGAACATGGTGACACATCACCGGATGTGGAAAAAACCGTCACGACCCCAGAGATCCGATGTCGTGATTTGTTCAATACGGGGTTCCCGGAAGTCTCGACCCATTCCCTGGGACCGGTTTTTCATCCTGAATCGTTTTTGGACGGTCCTAGGTCCCGGCGAGGGCCCCTAGAAGCCGAAAGCTACGAAAGAGCTCCGTCTCGATGTTTCCCAATATCCTAAGATGGGGTTCTTGTTATTACTTGGACGCCTCCTACTCCTCCTTTTTCTTCCTCTTCTCCTCCCCTCTCCTCCTCATACCCAGACTTCCTCATACACAGACTGACTCACACTCAGACTTACTCATACCCAGATTTACTCTCACACACACACAAACAAAAAACAAATTATCCTGGCGAAGGACCCAACCATATGCAATTGTGAATACTGCAATTGTGAATATCTTCTCGGTGGAGCCCCCTACGGGGCCACGAAATGTACGAAGGGTGTGCCGAAATGGGTGTGCGGGACGCATGCGGGCACACCCACTGGGGCCTTCGGTGGAGCTCCCTATGGGGCCACGAAACGTGTGAGGGGTGTGCCGAAATGGGTGTGCGGGACGCATGCGGGCACACCCACTGGGACCTTCGGCGGAGCTCCCTATGGGGCCACGGAACGCGTGAGGGGCGTGCCGAAATGGGTGTGGCTGACGCATGCGGGCGCGGGCACTGGGGCCTTCGGCGGAGCTCCCTATGGAACCACGAAACGTGTGAGGGGTGTGCCGAAATGGGTGTGGCTGACGCATGCGGGCGCGGGCACTGGGGCCTTCGGTGGAGCTCCCTATGGAGCCACGAAACGTGTGAGGGGTGTGCCGAAATGGGTGTGGGTGACGCATGCGGGCGCGGGCACTGGGGCCTTCGGTGGAGCTCCCTATGGAGCCACGAAACGTGTGAGGGGTGTGCCGAAATGGGTGTGGGTGACGCATGCGGGCGCGGGCACTGGGGCCTTCGGTGGAGCTCCCTATGGAGCCACGAAACGTGTGAGGGGTGTGCCGAAATGGGTGTGGGTGACGCATGCGGGCGCGGGCACTGGGGCCTTCGGTGGAGCTCCCTATGGAGCCACGAAACGTGTGAGGGGTGTGCCGACCTGGGTGTGGCTGACGCGTGCGGGCGCGGGCACTGGGGCCTTCGGTGGAGCTCCCTATGGAGCCACGAAACGTGTGAGGGGTGTGCCGACCTGGGTGTGGCTGACGCATGCGGGCGCGGGCGCTGGGGCCTTCGGTGGAGCTCCCTATGGGGCCACGAAGCGTGTGAGGGGTGTGCCGAAATGGGTGTGGGGACGCATGCGCGCGGGCACTGGGGCCTTCGGTGGAGCTCCCTATGGACGCCCGTGGAGCCCGAAATGGGTGTGGGTGACGCATGGCGGGCGCGGGCACTGGGGCCTTCGGTGG